CCAGCCCCCTATCACCCCCTCCTCCCCAATCCCGAAAAAAAAATTAAGTTTGTTTTTAAATTTTTTTTTTAATTTTAAACATTATTTTCTACTCTAGTAAAAATAAAAGATATTTTTCATTCATAAACCAAACACTACAAATCTTTTCCGAAAAATATTTTCTACTCACCAACCAAACATGAGAAAATAAGTCAAAAATCTACTTGTTTTCCGGGAAAACATTTTCTAGGAAAACATAAATTTATTTTATATTGAAAAGTTATAGATTTTATTTTTTTTACTTTTATGATACAATAAAACTAAATGAAGCATTTTCAACATATTTCATCTAAACAAAAGACTAAAATATTTTCTCCATGTTGAATTCTTAAGTAGAGTACTATTTACTCATGAAAATATGGGTATACTAGTATTTTACCCAACCCATTTGTTACCCAATCAATTTTTATCCATATCAAATATGGGCGGTTGAATTATTACCCATTTTATGTTGATCCATTTTCAACCCGCCCGAATTTGATCCAACCCGCCCATTTGCCACCACTAAGCGTGAGGTATAATGTATAATAATAATCTCATGATAAACAATAGGATTAGCTTATTTAATGTTTTGTTGGAGGTATCAGGTAGATACTCTCTGTCATACTTTTGGCACATTGATGTCCCTGACATCCAAAAACATGTAATAATAATAACATATGAAATTGGGTTGTCAAAAATTTAGATAGTCTTAAAAATATAACAATAATAACATATTTCAATATAATTTTATAGGTAGGATCTAAGAAAAATAGCGTTTACACAATTATATTTATTCTTTAAAATTTTTGATAGATCATCGATCCAGATGAGTGTTTCAGTTGATTAAGCAGCTTTAGATAAAGAATATTAGGATGAGAAGTTTAATTTCTTTACAATGAGAATATCAATAACAAAAAAAATCAGATCACTTTAAAAAATAATTACATGTAATCATAATTATACATGAAATTAATTTGTCATAATTTTAAATGATATTAAAAATATTATAACAATATATATAATATAATTCTATAGGTGGAATCTAAGAAAATATAGTGTATATACAAAATTTAGTTTTTTTCTTATATTTTTTTTTGATAAATTATCGGTCCAAATAAATCATATAAAAAAGATAAGTATGTAAAATAAATAAAATAGCAGAGAGTTCATAATGTAAAAAATAAAGAACAAACAATAAATAATATGATAATAGAAGCAAAAAAAATAAAAATCGCTAAAATAAAAAAAATAAAAAATAAGAAAGTGATAATACTAAGCTAGCGTTTGGCCATAGATTTTTAAATATTCTTGGCAAATATTATTTGGGTGAAATTTCACCATGTGTTTGGCCATAGTATTTGAAAAACATATTTCACTTTTTTAGAAAAAATATGATTCATATTCATAAGTTTTAAAAACTATCAAAATTAACCATAAGTTTGTATTACAAGTCAATTGGATTTTCGTTACAACAAATAGTGTCCATGACACTAGAGCAATGTGGTAGTTTGGAGTGAGTGCAACAAGCATCATTTCATACATCGTGAAGTAGACAAAGCACATGACTTTGTTACCCTGAGCCGATTGTTCATCATTTTCATCAACAACCATATCATCACTTTCATATTCACCGAATATTTCATCACTACTTTGGTGTTCACGTAAAATATTATGTAATACAACGCAAACAACTACTATAGAGGGTGTTTTTGTAAAAGATAAAATTTTTGTGTAAAATTTTAAATTTCAAAAGATCCCAAATAATGAGATTTCGCCCAAATACTAGAAAAAACTAGTATTTGAGAATTTGGGATATTTGCCAAATAATGACAAATTGTATAGACAAACACTATTTATCAAATTTGTTCCCAAATATTATTTGGAAAATCTATGGCCAAATGGGAAGATAACTAGATAACACTCAAATCTCAATTACTTACTAACCTTTGATTTATCTTTTTATCTGAAATTATTTTCTCAACGAAAATTATAAATTTCATATCATATCTTATGTAATCACTTTTATCGCAAATACTATATGAGCAATAATTAAAGAATTAACCGTATATATATTTTTTTTAATCTAAAACCATCTTCATAATGAATTATCAATATGTCATATCTTATCTAATCACATTATCACAGACACTATATGAGAAATAATTGAAGGACTAACCTTTAACTTCTATCTTCCATTTATATGTCTTTCTATTTAAAATTATCGTCTCAATAAATTACAAATACAACACATCATATCTTATCTAATCATTTTATCACGAACACTATATGAGCAATAATTGAAGGGATGGAAGCATGTGACATTGAAAGAGTTTGGACCGTTAATTTATTTAATTGGATCATGGTACATAAACAGTATGTCTACCACGTGGTGCATTTAATTTCGATCATTTTTCTAAGCATTCACCCCACTTACCAGATTCAATATTTCTTATATAGTTAATTTTTTTATAGAAAAAATGTTTCAAAAAAATTAAAAAATACAATTGTCTTGAATGCTTGGATTATGAAAAATAAATAAGAACGGTACAAACCACATAACAAATGAAAAATAATATTTTCTACGATAACATATGTAGTGAAATTTCATTGAGTGAGGTTTAGGAAGAATAGGATATATGCAAATCTTATGAAGGTATAAAAATCATTTTCGAAAAATCTTCAATTTACGTATATCAAATCCAAATTAAAAAAAAAAAAAATAGTGAAGAAAACATGAGAAAAAAATTATTTTCTATCCCACCAAATATGGACATTCAATTGTTCTTTGGTAGTCATATGATATTATGATTAAAACCAACATGGGTTGTGGTGCAGTGGTGTGACTGCTTCATCCTTAACAAAAGGTTTCGGTATGAAAAAATCTTGTTGGGAGCTTCACCCACGAATGGGCTTTGCAGAGCGCAATTCAAATTTAGTCGGAGCTTCAATGCGAACTCCGGACATTAAATGTGAAGCAAAAAAAAAAAGATATTATGATTACGAGTTACGACTTACTTCTCAATAATTTAAGAATTAAAATAAGGTGAATATTATTTTACTGTAATTTATTGCAATTGATGAAATATGTCCAATTTGTGACATGGAATCTAAATAATTTCTTTGGAGTTCCTGGATTAATATGTCAAAAATGATTTTCAGTCCCCAAGTCAAACTTGCAACGTATCTCTGTTTTTTTTTTCCTCTTATTTTCTGAACGGTGGGTCCAGCTTAAATTAGATGTGTTCTTTTATTCCTGATCGAGCACGTGTCTATCTATTTGTTATAAAGGTAAATTAGTGTTAAAATATAACGTGAGAAATATATTTAGCTTGAAATATAATAAAAAGTATATTTAAATTACTTTTAATAATACATAAATATATTTGGCCTTGTTCCATTTTATTTTTGAGGCTAAATCGTAAGTATTTTTCCCCCTCATGAATCATCACTTAAAATTTTAATGCATATAACTTGCTTATAAATTTTTCTTTCACCTAAGTGCATTTTTTTTTCTTGTTGTGTTTTAATTACTAAAGTTTTCGATCGAAAATTAAAGGTGAATGGTTTTATTAATTGAGGAGAAAAAAAAGATAAGAGAGTGATTTGTCGAGAAACCTTCATTCAATGTGCAAAAATTAGTTGAGGAGTTATTGGGTGCTAATCAAATACTATAAAACAATCTTATATGAACTTGGTAAGAATATATATATATATATATATAAAAGGAAAATGAATAGAAAATAGATGTAAAATTTTAAGAGCACCTATTTTGTTAGATTTGTTGATATTTTTTTAAAAAGGGAAATTTGTATATAATAGCTAACTATTAATTCAAATTAAATGTCATAACCACTGTTTGGTTTATTGTACCCCGTAGCAAATTGTTGTTATTTCGCCTCTCTCCCTGGTGAATCTCGCTCGCCACTCTCGACAGTCTCTCCCTCGCCCCTCTCGCTTTTATACAAACGCAGATGTATAAAATGCGTTTGTGTTTGTATTAAGCGAGAGAAAATTGTATATATACGTATATTTTCGTTCCCCTCTCTCCCCTCTCCCAGATCTAGCTCGCCACTCTCACTCGCCTCTCTCACTTTTATACAAAACACAAAATGTATACATTGCGTTTGTGTTGTATAAAGCCGAGAGAAAATTGTATATACAAATACATATTTTTTCGTCCTATACACTTATGATTATACAAATATAGATCTTCCCCTGCCCAGTTTTCTTTTGTTTTTCTCTCTTTTCTCGCTTTATACAAATACAAATTATACAATTGATTCTTTTGTATATATATACCAAAACAGATTATACAATTGCTTCTTTTGTATATATGTATAGCGAAATATACATATTAATAGCCATAGCAGACATAAAGTTTGTTATGGAGCGCAATTATGCAAACTATAGCTATAACATACAAATATAATTTTTGTGTTTGTTATATGTGAAAGTTGCTCTTTAAAAAATACTTAAGATTTATAGTATGAAAAATTACATAGTATAAGGTAAACATATAATATGTACGGAAAATGGTCTAAAATACCCTTCAAGTATAGGAAATGGAACAAAAATACCCTTCTTCCACCTAGGAGCTATATTACCCTTTCACTTGACAGATTCTTTAAGAGTAATAATTAATCTCTTCATTAATGACGTGGCAACCTTTAATTGGTTGAAATTTAAATTAATATATCATCTTTAGTAATTCAAATAAGATCTTCATCTATTCATCCATGGGCAGTAACAAATTAGCGAAACCCATTAGTAAATTCCAGAATTGAGAAAAAACAGAGGATCAAAATAATTACCAAAGGAGATACACAAATGGGCAAGTCTCTTACAAAGAATCTTCAATACCCACCTAGCTGCTATACTAAACAAATTGGGTTCCCTAACATTAATCCCTAAATTCAAGTAGTAAAAAAAAACAATACTTTACCATAAAGAAGAGCAATGCAGTTCACCGTGTGAAAAGATTAACAAAAATACCATCTTTAGGAATTCAAATTAGCTCTTCAGCTATACATCCATGACACAGTAACAAATTAGCGAAACTCCATTTGTAAATTCCAGAAATTGGGTAGAAAACAGAAGTTCTGAATAACCCCCAACAACAAATCGCACCGATCAAGTGTTCGATTTAAGTCCTTTTAAGAGTTTCTCTTTTTAACTGCTTGATGTTTTTATATTGTTATCTTTGCTAACAAATGGACAATTGACTACTACTCCTTTACTATACGAAGGCAAAGATTCCTAACATAGGAAAATGCTTGGATATAGTTGCTACTTTGCAAGCTAAGAAGGACAACAGTGAGGTTTGTCCCAATGCTACATGTTTTCCCGATGAATGGAACTTTACTGAAGCACTCTTAGACATTTTCATTATAGTTGAATCTTGAATTAGTAGACTCTTTTCCTATTTTATTTTATTAGGTCTATAATTTGATCGAAAAGTAAACTGTATGCAGGGTAGGGATTTTTGACCTTTTCTCCATTGAGAAGAAGCTGGGCTCGGAGAGTATGAAGTTGAGGAAGCAGCTTGGGACAATGAATTAAGGGTTATAGAAAAGTTTCAAAATTAAGGATTGGTGACTCAAGTTTTAATTATTGAGTAGGGGTGACAATTTTTAAATTAAGAATTAAGGGGTTGCATTTTTTATTCCTAGGTTTTTTTATTTAAACTTTAGTCCATCTTATATAAAATCCTAAATAATAAGAAATGGAGGGAAAAAAAGTGTACCAATAGCTCAGTTTTTCCTTTTTTCTCTCTTGCTTATTCTTCCATTGTTGGGGACCATTGTTGCTGCTCTTCTTCTTCATTTTCTTCTCCATCATCATTCTTCTTCTTCTTCTTGTTCATCACCATTTTCTTGTGGTTGTTCATCATTTTTTTCTTCTTCAGTTGATAATCACATTGTACTGCTGCTTTCAGACCAATTTTCATTCATATATCATTTGACATTACATCATAGGTGATTTTGGTAAGTAAACTAATGATTTTTACTCTAATTTTTCATTTTTATAGTTTGAGTGTTTCTTCAAAATTTTACAGCCCGTACCCAACAGGTAAGCCATTTGTTGCAACAGGTAGATTACCTGTTGAATACATATTACAGTACCATTTCAAGCTGGGACTGAACCAGAAGCTTCTCCCAACAGATAAATCATTTATGCAACTGATGCGTCATCTGCTGCACCAGATGACTCATCTGTTGCAACAAATGACTCATCTGTTGCAACAGATAGATTACCTGTTGGATACATATTACAGTACCATGTTAAGCTGGGACTGAACCAGAAGTTTCTCCCAACAGATAAGTCATTTATTGCAACTGATGCGTCATCTGCTGCACCAGATGACTTATCTGTTGCAACAGAGGGCTTACCTGTTGGATACATATTACAATATCAGACCAAGCTGGGAAAGAACTAGAAGCTTGTCACAATAGATGAGCCATTTATTGCAACATATGAGTCATCTGCTGCACCAGACGACTCATCTGTTGCAACATATGGCTTACCTGTTGAATACATGTTACAGTACCATGCCAAACTAGGATAAAATCATAAATTTGTCCAAACAGGTAAGTCATATATTGCAACATATCAATTACCTGTTCTAACAAATCAATTACCTGTTGCAACAAATGACCCATCTATTACAACAATTGACTTACATGTTGGATAAACTTCTGCTTCTAGACATGTATCTAATAAGTGAATCATCAGTTGCAACAAGTGAATAATCTGCTGCAACGGATGACCTACTTGTTGCAATAGATGATTGACTTGTTGGGACAATGATTGTGCATATGATTTTTAACTGTATATAGCCTCTCAACTTTACTATACAATCATTATTAAATATTTTTAATAAATTCCTTTAGGTACCATTAATGGAAGAATCAATAATAATAGCTGTTGATTGTTATGGTGAATGGATTGAGAAAAACAATCGATTTATTTGGCGTTGGAAGGATGGTGACATGTCAGAGTCAGTATTGATGACCGTCCAAAGGGATATTTTGTATAATGATTTTGTGAACTCAATCATTAGCTATTGTGGACTAAATTGTCAACCAAATGATCTTGTCATCAGTTACATGCACAAGTCTTTTGAAAATCAGAGGGTCCTGCCTTTTAAGATAAGCAATCAACTTCGTTTGGGGTGCTTATCTGAATGATGCAACTAGGTCCGTTTTAAGGGTGTACGTTGTTGAAAAACTGATAGAGAATGAAAATGTAGGACAAAACCAACAAAATCTGTTAAATGATGAATTGAATGAGATGAACATGAATATTCCAGATGATGAGATTGGACATGAAGTGGAGGAGGACCAAACACCTACACCTATTGTTGATATAAGGGGCAGTTCTCAGTTAAAACAATTGAACAATCTTCAAGATGATGAGACAAGTTTTTACATAGGAATGACATTCAAGAACAAACACGAACTAGTCACTTCATTGCATATTGCTTGCTTGAAAAAAGATTTCAGACTTGCAAAGGTGACTAATTCGCGTAGTGTGTATTGTTTTAAATGCGCACATTCAGAGTGCAAGTGGTGGTTGAGGGCTGTGAAATTCAAAAGTTCTGACAGATTTTGTATTAAAATTTATAAAAAGTATCACACATGTGGTTCAGAGCATATTACGAGTCATAATCCACATGCCACAGCAAAAGTCCTTGGTAAATACTTCAAAAATAGCTTTCCTAATGGTAAAGGTCCATCTACAAGAGATATGACCAATCAACTCCATACAGAATTGGGTTGTAAAGTGAGTTATTGGAAGATATATAAGGGTAGGGAGATTGCAAAGTCTTTGGTTAGGGGAACACATGAGCACGGGTATGGAGTGCTTGATGCATACCGCTATATGCTTGAGTCCGCAAATCCAGGAAGTAAGACGGCATTGCAGGTTGATGAAAATGGAAAGTTCAAGTACTTTTTTGTAGCCTATGCGGCTTGGATTCAAGGTTTTCAACAATTGAGAAAAGTCATAGCCGTTGATGGGACATTCTTGAAGAGCAAGTATGAAAGAGTTTTACTATCGGCGGTGGCGCAAGATGCAGAGAATCATATTTTTCCGGTGGCTTTTTGTGTAGTGGATAAAGAATGTGATGCCTCATATCAATATTTTTTTGAACAAATGAGAAGTTATGTAGATGATACCGATGAGCTGTGCATAATTTCTGATAGGCATTCAAGTATTCGAAAGATGGTTTCAATTGTGTATCCATTAGCTCATTATGGTTGTTGCATGAGGCACCTTGGAGAAAATATTCGAAACAATTTTCACAATGCAAAGGTCGTATCTCATTTTTATAATGCAGCGAAAGCGTACAATAAAGTTGAGTTTTATGACCATTTCAATCAGATAAGGGATATGGTACCCAAGGCAGCCGAACATCTCGAATCAATTGGATTTCATAGATAGAGCAGGGCCTTTTGCCCGGGAAATAGGTACAATATTCTATATTGAGTATCTTGTTTAAGTTTAATATAATTATATAT